TGATGTTATCTATCTCTCACCGTCCTGTTTTTATGTGGTTTTCTTTTAGGTGAAGATGAAGGCACTCATAGTGTTGAGTTCTAAAGGGAAAGGGTTCTGCTCTGATAGGATGTGACATTGGGGCATGAATTTAGGATGCTTTAGTTATGAATTGTTATTTGTCGTTTGAGGAGACTTATTTTTAGGAGTTTTATATTCACCTTATATTTGTAAATTCTGGATCCCTTTCATTTTTCTTTAGAGACCTTGATAATTTTCTTTTAAGAGTAAAACTTTATTATTATTATTATTATTATTTCTATTTATTTCAAGACTTGTGAACCTATGAGTTTTTATTAAAATATGTTGACCCTTCTTGATGTTATATTTATTGAATTATTCTTATTGTTGTTACTTATCTATTATAGGGTAGAAGGGTGTCACATCTGCTTCCAGAACGGCCCGTTCTCCAAACCAGAACGGCCCGTTCTCCCTCTGGAACGACCCGTTCTCCAAACTGGAACGGCCCGTTCTCCCTCCAGAACGACCCGTTCTACTTCTCAAATTTTGGGCCTTTAACTTATTCCAGAACGGCCCGTTTCACTTTTGAAACGGCCCGTTCTGGGCAACGAATTGGGCCTACGGCCCATTGAAAATTGGGCTGTTACATTTTCAATTTAGAAAATAAGTAAATATTACTAATATTAAATTAATGTTCACTAACTACAACATTAGTATTAGCTCGTCTCTTTTTTTTTTTTCTACACATATGATATGAATAGCAACTGCGGGAATGAAGAGGTGTGGGGTACACTATCTACCCTATATGGAGTACTAGTTAACATATATAATTAAAGAAATTAGTCCACTGAAAAATTAATTATAGCTTAGAGAACCTTCTCCACTGAGTTCCAAATTCATAGGAGGAAAGAAACAGAAATGGGTAAAAGAAGATGGTGAAGGCAAATTCATTCCTAGAAATGAGAACTCGTTCCAAATTGGAAGTTGTGGTACCATTCAGTGTACTGTGTGTCTCCGCTTGCTTGATTTTGGTTTGGGAGGGAATTAGGAACGTCTGTGATATTGATTTGAAGAAGCTGCTGACGTAGCTGTGGCTTGTGCTCGGGTGCACCAGTGAGTTGCTGAACAAGGTCTCGGAAGTTTATAGCATCCACTTTGTATACTTTTACAGGTGTTGGTGCCATTGGTGCCACTGGTGCCTTCTTATTCCACGACTTTGCTGCTGATTTTCTCACGGAATTATGAGACTGAAGAGGGTACACATGTTTTGATTCCTCACGTTGTTGGGTTAAGTATGAAGGGTTGGATGAGGAATAAGCCTCCATGTACAATTGCTTTTGCTTTTCTGCTTTCTAGTTATGATATGAGTAATGAGCAAGGGAGGACGTTACTGGTGTGTTGTATTTATAGATTTTATGACTATATATGAGGGATGAATTGTGGGCAACAATTAAAGCATGTTGTATTGAATTCCAATATAAGAAATTCAAACATGGATTTTGTCGTTACCGTCGGCGGACAAAAAAATGTTAGTAGTGACATGAGCGGACCAATCCTTTTCGGTCAAATGTTAGCGAATTAATTATAGTATTTATAAGTTAAGAAAAACCCTCCAAATTTGTTTTTCTTAGAAGCGTCAAACATATTTATATGCGCTTAAGTCATGCTCTACGAAGGTAGTAAGAGTCAGAGAGTTGAGCATGACTTTCAAAGATGAACCAAGAATAGCCGCCTCTCTGATATGTGCTGTCGTATTCATTTACAGGGGATTTACAAGTTACATCTACTGCTAGTGGCAGCGGGGAAAGACCGCCATCATTTTTCCGCCACATAGTTGAAAACGTATATATTATGTCATTAATGAATTGGCCATAGTTTTTTTTTAACAGCTGAATAGGATAGTGTTACTGTACAACCATTACTTCTTTTTTTTTTTTTTTTTTTTTTTTTTTTTCCTTTTTTCATTTCTAAATTCAGTAAATTGCATGCCTTTATTTTGTTTTCTGTTCCTGTGTTAGGATACACACTCCAATTATCCTTGTTGTAGTAGGTCTGGTCTTGGGTCTCGGTCTTCTCGTTCAATCCGGGTGGTCCGAAGTGAGAGAGGGGGGTGCCTGCAAAGACACTCCAACGCTCAAGTAAGTACTCGGCATAATAAATGCGGTAGGTCAAAAGTAGTTACGTACCTCTCAGGAGTTCTATTTATAGGTGTTCGTGTTGGGCCGTGATTATGGGTTGGGCCCCAGGAAATTAGGGGACTGATCCGAAGTTTATGCTAATTAATTTATCCGTAATTAAGCCGGTAATGACGTTGACCTTGGCCGACCGTACCGATAAGTTCCGTATGGTCTCGTCAGGGTCGGTGGTGTCGGGTACTCGGCGTGTTCGGGTACACAAAACGTTCGGATTGCTCGGCCTAGTGTATATTTTCTAAAATAAATATACAGAGAAATTCCTATTTCCTTCAAATGTTTATTTAACGATGGGTGCTTGGTTTCTTCTCCAATGATAGATAATGGCTGCCATTCCCAAACTACTTTTAGGATTGAACTATGGAGGGATATGCGCCGTCTTGCGGAATCTACTTTTGAATCATGGTTAGCTCTTGGGGATTTTAATGCCACTCTGAAAGCTCGTGAACAAAGAGGGGGCTTAGATTGCTAAGCTATAAAGTGTAGAGGTGTGAAAATTAAAATTTAAATATTACAATGTTTCATTTGGATAAAAAAATTTATCGTATTGTAAACTCTTCTAAATAAAACTTTAAATATAAAAGAAAATGAATAAAATGATGGCCCAAAAGTTTATCCATAACTAAAAGAATTAAATTCAAATACTAAAATTTAAACGAGCTAAGAGTTACATTTTATTTTCAAAACCCCAATATCACATCAATCAAAGTATTAACAACCCATTAGGTTATCATATGGGTATATAATAACAAGGCAACATATATCACATAAGTAATCTATCCTAGGTTTCTCAATAATAAGCAATATGTGGATATATGACAACATACATAAGCATATATAAAAGGGATCTCTGGGATCAACCAAAACAAAAACACGATCATCATAATCAAACATACAATCGTAGAAGGTGATTATCATGCATTAGAATAATATCATTAACTAATAAGATGTGATTCAAAATTGATACTTAAAACAAATCTCTTTCACGATGGTGATGCATCATGCATCTTTCGACGTGCAACTACATCACGATTTCTTCGTATAATATAAACCACATAGGCATGACAGAAATCATAATGAAGATGGACAAATGGAAGGAAGCCCGAATAAATAAGGAAACGGAAGGATGCATGATTAAGAATAGCTAATGTTTGTAAGTGGTAGCTGACAAATGAGTTATGAAGAATCTTCTACAAACTAGTAAGAGAACCAAAACTCCCCCCATTAGGAAGAGTAACCGTAACAGATTGCAATGCAAATTCAAATTCGGACTTTCAATCCTCGTCTTTAGTCCAAACAAAAAGAGAAAAAATGTGATGATGGTGAACTATGTTGGGGTTGAGTCATTCTCCTTAGCAGCAGCAGCTGCCTCTTCCTGTTGCTTCTTTTTCCAGTACACATCAAGAGGGGGTCCAAATATTGCCTTCCCAGAAACAACACCAATGCTGTAAATCCATACAAAATCTTGGTACATAACTAGACCAATCTAATTAAAAATCTTCAAACAAATTTTAATTTGATTGGGTTCTCGGTGGTAATATCCCAACAATTTGTGCTTCTAAGGTTTAGAAACCCCAAATTTAAACATGGAAAGGGAAAATCACCCACATATAATATATGATAGATAAAATCATCACGGCCCATAATTAACAAGATCAATCAATTACATATAACACGGTAATTAAATCGGGGCAAGCATATAAAGAGAAAATTGCAAGCTGCAAGCAGAGAAAGAGAAAAGCAAAACTTAAAATATGTTCGAAGGTGAGGTGATTCTCAAATCTAAAGCAGGCAGGACACAGAATCCGTCTGAACATGTTGATCACACGCTTCAATCTCTTCTACAAGTCTTTGCTCAGCATCAACATCTAAATCTGCCTCACCAACTGGGGCACAAATTAATAGATCAGGCACCTTAGCCTCCTCAAGGCACATACCTGTTCTCCCAATCAGTTTAGATCTCTCCAACTCCTCACATTCCAACAGAATAGCTTGAAACTGAAAGAGACACTGCCTATGTCCACTGCCATGTCCAACAATAATCTATTCTTTACAATATCTCCTCCTCCTTGGATCACACCCTTGTTGAAGCCGGGCATCCTTCTTTTTGAGGCATATGCATTTAGACCTCCAATTACAGCACCACAAACATTGCCTTTGGTTATAATTGTTGTTATAACCCTTTCTTAGAGATCAAGATGGAGATCACAAAGGTCCTCCACCCACCAGTCCTTAGGAACTAATTGTTGTTTCCTCACACTTTTAAAGTGATTTGAAACTACCAGTGATTTGATGCCTATCAAGATTGATTGCACATAGTAGAGGCAAAACACAAGAATAATGAAATATTACCAGGAACGAAACTGAAAAGTAACCAATAATACTAGGATTTGGAAGGAAATTAGTAAGAAAGCAAGCCCCACAAAGGCAAAAATACATATCCCTCAAGAAAGAGCTAAAAAAAGAGGGCAGTAAAGTAACATGCATATACATCACAGGTGCAATAAGGTTCTAGGCAGAGAGAGGAGGTTGATCTCACACCTGATATTACCCCCATCATTCTGAAAAGAATCTGGCTTAGATCCAAATTTCATAAACATCATCTAGGCCAAAACAAATGACTATGTTGCTCCTTTGTTCCTTTCTGGACACAAATCTTATAGGTTCTACTTCTATACAGCTGCAAACATCCATCTCACCACCTCCAACTCTGAAAGACAAATCACCACCTATTCCGAGTTTAGATTTTAAAAAGAAAGTGATAACTTGATAAACTCCAGACTGAGGAAGGAGAATCAAATAGAAATATGGTATATATCCTATAAAGACTGAAATTTTTTTACAATCGACGCCAGTAAGAGTGCCAAGAGAGTTATTTAAATAATTTTATTTCGATCACTTGAAATGGGAAGCCACAAGATAAGGTTACTTACTAAAATGGTAACATAGTCCAAGGACCCCAGAAAAAGGATTGTCGTGTTAGGAGACAGAATTTCTCAAACATATATATAATTTCTCAACGACAGAATCAGAGACAATTCCACTTACTCAAAACTGCCTGAGCCAAGTTAAAATTATTCTTTTCATTCTAGATATCTGCTTCCTTCACTTTTTTCTTTGTTGGTTCCAATAACTAGTTTAGGCACCAATAATAACATCTTTTCCTTTGCTAGCCACATTTCAGCTTTGTCCCAAGAACCTGCTACAACACAAGACCACATGTATGAATTGAGAGAAGAACCACGGAAGCATCAGAAGAAAGGCATCAATTTATAATATTTATGCGGTCCCTGCTTCAATGATCAGGGCACATGTTTAGCTAGGCCAAACGCAAAAGATGATTAATTCAAAGACTAGTTATAGGTGGACAACGCCCTTTAATTTTTATTTTTGAGAATTTGAATCTAGAAATAGATATTAGAAATCAAGCTTCAGAATGATTGGTTTTAGTTAACATAAAAGAGAGAGAGAGAAACAGAGAGAGAGAGAGAGACCCTCATTTTATTGGGTTGGGTTTAAACTCAAGCACATGTGATGAATGCTTCACCTGCTATCACTTTGCTGGCCTAGCCTTTCATTGTTTGTTTCCACCTCTCGTGTCATTTTGCTTGCTGCAGAACAAAACATAACCCACAAACAAGGATACAGTTTCTTCACTTGGAAAAGACAGTGAATAATTGAGATCGAAGAATTAATAATATCAATATCACTGCTTGAGAAGTTGTGATTGTGATGCATAATAAAAATGGTTATTTCCATTGTACAGATTAAATGAAAATTGAAAGCCAAAGGAGCTCTCCATACATGTTTGATGTCAAAATCAAAACGTATTCTTTAGGGAAAATTGGAGGCCTGTAAAACCCCAAGGGAAAGATGATACAATACAATGAAGCCTTGGAGCAAAGCAACTCCTCAAAAATTACAAATGAAATTACAAGCTCCACCCTAGTTGTGATCCCTCTCCTAAGATTATCTTTATCCAACATTAACATGATTTCTTTCATCCATATACCCCCCAAAAAGCAGTATAAACAATTTCAACATCTTGATGGGGCTTATTGAGAACAACCTAGGACAAGAAACACTCAAAAGTGAACCCACTCAAGCAAGGTGTGTTGGTGTCCTTCATTCAAATATCAATGGCTGGAATCAAAACGCAAATAGCATACATATAGGAGAGATTTGCATTTTGCACCACCACCCCCATGCCAACTCCTGGGATTTTTTAGTTCTGTAGCCTGGAAAGAAGCTGGTTTTTGCTTCTCTTGTCCTACAAATTTACAAGTTGTGATACAACCAGGTTAAAATCAAGTCATTGAATGGTTCTAGTAAGCTTGCACTTGGAAATGAAGATTGTATCTGAATAATTCAAACTACACAACTTCAAAAGCTCAGCCGACTGTTGTTTCAATATGGGATCACAATTGCTTTGAATCAAAAGGAGGAGTTTTGCAGCAAGTCCTGCTTCCACAGCAATCAAAGAGAACTCCTCAGGTGCAAGCTTGCACACAGACCACAGTATTGACAATGCATATTTAGTGTAATTCTCTGAGACCCTCATCAACAGTTTCACCATAATGGGTATGGCATTAGAACAGTCTTTCAAAGCTAATCTGCCTTCAGGGACGGATGCCAATGCATCCAAAATTGAAAGAGCCAATTCCAAACAATCAGGCTCCAAACCAGACAACAACTCAACCAATTGAGAAACAGCCCCAATGCTCACCAGCAAACTCTTAACTTCGGAATGCGAGCAAACTTTTCTGAGGAGCTTCAGTCCAGCGAAGATTCCATTTGTGTGCCTCTTGTCCTTCACAAGCCTCATCAACCCAACCAAAAGGCTATGGCTCCTAAAAATCTCCAAATCGAAATCCTTCCCTTCAATCAGTGTCTCAATCAGCCTAGTGCAATTGATCTTTGTCTCAATTGAACCCTCATTCAAAATATCCACCATCAGTGAAACCTTTGCAGGCTGCACTAAACTCCTCTTGGACTCACAATCGAGGTTCAAACTCCCAAGAACACCAATGACCTCGGAGCCAACAGCATATGAAGTGAAAGGACCAAGCAAGGACGATACCACGGAGACTCCACCACCATCAAGCAATGCCTTGCGGGCAGTGGCATGAGCAGCGACCACTTGATGGAGCTCCTTGAGGGCGAGAACACGAGCTTGGCCCTTCACCTTCTTGAGCGTCTCAACAAGCTCCAACACCCTCCCCTGCACGTCTTCTGATCTTTTCTTCATCACAAGGTATTTCTGAGAGAACCAAGTGAATATCAAACGGTAGAGGGTGGTGTTTGGAGTGAGGGTGTCGTCCCAGAGCTCTTGCATTGTAGTGGGGCAAGTTAGGTGCCCTAAACTGAACCATTTGAGGATGTTGGACCTCTCATAGGTCTGGCCCGTGCAAAGGGTCACGGGGTCCTGCATTGGCTCAAGAGAAATTGGACAAATGAACACAGAGGGAACATCACACAAGTCCAACTCTTCAATCATTCTCCCAAGATCCAATTTTTCAGCAACCCCAGTTGTTCCCACAAACCCAGAATCGACGCCACCCAAAACCCCATCTTTGACCGCCGTGTCCAGATCTAGAATCTGGCCGTCCACCCCATCCCTCTTACAAAGAGACTGAAACATTGGCATTTTTTAAACCCCTTTGAGCGAAAGAAAGCAGCTTCTGATGAGAACCAGCCAGAAAACAAAAATCAAAATTACTGCAATGCGAAGCACCCTTCAGTGGACATTGCACGCGCGAAGTGGGTAAAAGCAGAATAAAACAACTTAGGCAGTCTCTGAAGCAGTTTCCAAGCAACAAACTTGCTTTATTGTACAAATCAGAAAATGGAAGGCACTTGAAAATTCTGAGAAACAGTCAAAAGAGGCATTAGGGAAGGGTGTAATAATTGAGGAGGGGAAGAAAAATGAAGAGGAAACGTACCTAGCAGCATGGGGAAGAAGAAAAGGCAACTCTGGCTGCCAAAGGAAAAGGCTCCTCCTACAAAGACACTGAGCTTGGACTGCCCTCAACAAGACTTGTTTCTTTTGGGGCAGATTCTTGTAATCCCATCCTTACAAAATACAGTAAGCAAATTAATTTGGGTAAAATTAATAAAATGAGAACCATAATTAATTAAGAACCGTTGTTCAATTTAGTTTGCGGTGCTTTTTCAGGTAAGAGGACAGATTAGTACACAACCTATAACTATCAACTCCAGGATGAGATTGTAACTAGTTAAAGAGTCAAGGTACTAGATTTAGAATATAAAAAAATTAATTGGATGTTTATCTATATTTAATTAAAACTAAATTAATAAATTAAATTAAAGGAAATAATAAATGTTTTGTTCAATAAAATTAAGTAACGTGATAAAGCTTTTTAAAATTAAAGAAAATAATATCAAAATAAAATACTTAAAACAAACTTGTGTATATATTAAGAGTTAATCATCCATACACTGAGTGTAAAGTTTTTTACACTAACAACCAATTATATCTTTTAAATTATTTTATTTTATTATTATTTCATAAATAAGAAACTGACATGGTACTATTAAAATATAAGATTTGTTATCAGTGTAAAAAAAATTTACACTGACAATATATAGGTGATTAACTCATATATTAATACAACCATTCTCCAAATTATAAATCAAAATAAAATTTAATTTAATTAAAATTATAATATTTTTTTTAAAATTTATTATTTTTCAAGAATATTGTCAACTTATGTCATTATATAAAAAATATATATGATATTTTTTAAATTGTCTTTATTCTCAACTTTTTGTTTAAGATCATTTTATTTTGAGTGAAAATATAATATCTTATTTAATTTCTATGTCAAGTTTTATTTTGTAATTAATTTATCAAAAAAATAACTATTTTTAATTAGATTTTTTTTTAATTATTTTTTATATATAAAACTCAAATTCTTAAAAAGTTTCGGTCTATTACTATCTGAACTAATGATTTATTTGTCCTTTTTCAATAATTTAATATATAGTGTATTTTAAGTGAAACATATTATTATGTAAAAGAATATTAAAAAAATTTGTTCAATCTAATTAGGTATATGTTAGAATACTAGTATTTTATTGTGTGAAAAAGACCAAATAATTATTAGTTTTATACTATTATAATTTGTAATAGATAAATATTATTAAATTCGTAAATTATATTATCATTGTAAGTCATAAGAAATATTTTAAAATATATAAAATTATATTTTAAATTTATAATAAATAATTTATATTATAATAATAAATTATTTTAACTATTGATATTTAAAAAAAACATCAATCTAAAATTAAAGATTAAAATAAATGAGATCATTCATAATATATTTTTTTTATAATTATGTCACACATTATTACATGAATTTAAAAAACTCATAAAAATTTTATTTTATTTTTTCTCTATTAATAAAGTTTTAAACAATATTTACTGGATTTTTCTTAAATGATTTATCGATATTTTTTCTTTTTTTTCAATTTAATAGTATAAAAATTATTTTTTTATTCACAAATAAACTTATTTTATATAATATAGGAAATTAAATTTAAGTTTACTTTAATTATATTAAAATATATAATAATTTATTTATATAATAAAATATAAAAATAATATAATTTTTACAATTTTCTAAACACGACCAAACAGTGACGTGTGAGTGTAATTTCCTCGGAAGAAAGTTAACTGAGTCCATCGGCCAGTGCACCACACGTGCGGTCAAATCTCATCTCATTCATCTGTCTCTATAAAGTATAAATCACTATTAAACTATCTTCTCTCTGTTTATTACGCTTCATCACATTAAAGTGACACACATAAATATTTATATTTATTCTGCCCAATAGACAATTAATATTTATTTCTTCCTCGTTGCCAGAGGATAATTAATATATTATTTTTGTTTTGTTCTACCCAAAGTGTCTTCGTTGTTTTTAAAAAATGAGACTAAAGTGGCGTGCATGCTGGTTTCTGTTTGTAATGGAGACCAGGGAACTCTTATCAAAACATCCCATCATGTATTGACAAGTTCCATTCCAATAGTGTCCACTTCAACGTATCCTTTCAGTATCGAAGAAAATGTCGGGGAATTAACTTCGTTTAGTATGTCTGAAATGGCGAAAAAATAGGACAGATCAATGAAATAGAAAAAAATAATTATTAATATTAAAAAATTGTCAATAAAAACAGTAAAATAGCATGAATGTCATATCTTTTTATTTTTTTATAAATTAACACAAAACTCAACAATATACAATTAAAACATCAAAACAAAATCAAATGAGTGAGAGTAGACAAATAACATTATAAATTTTAATATAAGACCCTCTCCACGTAAATAAGAAAAAATTATAGAACTTGATCATGTTAAAATAAATTCTTTTATAAATACTTAAAAAGATAAGAAATAAATATATAATAATTTAAATATTTTGAATAAATTACAATGACATTCCTTGAAGTTTTTCGAAATTATACTAACATCTCTTGCTTTTTTTACCCATAGAATAATATTCCTTAATTGTTTGAAAAATATTACATTAATACTCATTATATATTATTTTCTCTTTAATTATTTTAAAAATTTATATTGTGATCTCCTATAAATTAGGTTACTGCAAATCTTAAAAAAGTAACGGGTGTTAGTGCAATTTCATAGTAATTAATATAATTTACTCAAATATTTTTTTTAATTCTAATAGTTTCACTTACTTTACATTTTAATACTTATAGTTTAAAATATATTTTTTAGTATATATATATATATA